GGCCTTCCCTCCTCTGCTCCCTGAGAAGGAGTGAGGATGTCGGGCTTCTACTCACGCCGAGTCTTGGATCCTGGGTCATCTCTGGTCTGCAAGCTGCAGGATGAAGATGTCTGCTCCTTGTTGGTTCTTGCTGGTGTTGAGTAGAATCCGCTCGTCCGCTGCGTCTGGCTCCTTCGTCCCGGACTCTCTGTGTGAGCGCTCAGGTATGGCCCCGGCTGCGTTCTCCGCCGCTTGCGACCCTGCCGCCGCCACGGCGGCTGCTGGCGAGCGCTCAGATGTGTCTTCTTGCCTTGGCTTTCCCTCTCTTGTCTAACTCTCTGTCCTGTGATGGCACACTTGGTGTGATTCTCTGGCTTAGGACTGTTCACTGGAACTCTAAAACTGCTTTCTATGTGAGAGCTTGTTCAGATTCCAGCTTCTCCTCTGCCATCTTCCTGGAACCAGGCTTTTGATTTTCTTAGATTTGCCTTTCGATGGCCTCGGTTCTCCTCCTTGACAGCTACGTTGTTGGCAATCTTGCTCAGACTGGCAACCTGGCACCTTCCTTCCCCTAATTCTTAGGTAGATTTTACTAAATTAAAAAAATTCCTCCTCCTCCTCCTCCACGTTTTAAGGAGAGTATATGGAATGAGCCCCTTTGCTGAGGTATCAGTTAGCAGCTGATGTCGAGGATGATGTGTGTGTCTGGTTGGCAGGGTGTCTTCTTCTTCACCCACCACTCCATGAACATCCTCCCAACACTGCATGCTGCCAGCAAAGAGCATGACCTTCCCCAACACAACAGACGAGGACCTGGCCTCCAGCCAGGTGGTATGAGGATCTGCGCCTCCCCACTAGAACTACCCAACTAGCTCTCAAGAGTTAGAAATGTACTATTTCTGGAAAATCTTCTTGGGACTACTACCAGATTTGTTCTCCTAGAGCCTGGGTCAAATGTGATATAAAAGACAGCCAGTAGAACGCCATATGCTGAATAAGGTAATGATGGTGACACTTGTTGAAGCATGTTTTCTGATGTCCAGTTTATCTGTGGCAGGAGTGGAGAAGCCAGGGGTGTTATGGAGAGCGCTCGACTTCATTGTGAGAAAGTCTCAATAGATACTAATTTTCATCCTGACACAGTGATTAGTTATGTGGCCTTCATGAAATCCATAGATTTCCAGGCTTTAGTATCCATGTGTGAAGAAGAGGAATAGAATTTACTCCAACTAATTGCCGAAAGTATTACTTGTACCAATTGTCAGAAGTATTACTTGATGTTCATAGTGACTTACCATTCAGCAAATAGCTGGCAGGAAGTGTCCCCTCCACCCCACCTCCAGCAAGCTCCACAAGGGATGTTGTGATGACTTTGGTAACCATGGTAGCCAGTAAGTTTTATGCCTTATTATGGGTTAGGAATGCTGGCTAGGTTCTTTCTGTCCATTTTCTCAATTAAATACTTACCTCAAGTCTGTGTGGTAAAACATTATTATACCCAGTTAACAGCTGTGGAACAGGTTCAGAGCAGGTAAGTAATTTGTGTAAGATGACTCTGTTAGGAATTGTGAGTGCCAGAGTTGGGGATGTGGCTCAGTGGTAGCGCACTTGTCTAGCATGCAGGAAGCTCTGGGTTCAAACCACTAAAAACTAAAAGAAAGGAAGAAAGAAAGGACGGATGGAAGGATGGGAAGAAGGAAAAAAAGCAAGCAAGCAAGAAAGAAAAAATAAGTACCGAGATCCCAAATCAAGCTTCCTTGTCAATAAATCTGTTGCCAAAGACTCAAACTAAGCAGGGTCTGACTGGAGGCTGTTCAATCTGAAATTTCTTGAGCTGTATCTTGAAACTGTTCAGTAGACATTTACTGGGACACTCTAGGTTGTCTTCACCCTGGGCCAGATGTCTAGCTTTAGAGAGACATCTTATATCTGTGGTCATGGTTCTCATCTTACCTCTGTGGGGCTTTGTGGTAGGAAGCACATCTTCTGAAGATGCCTAGAACCTACCAGTCACAGCTATGTTGACAGCTGGATGGTGGTGGGCAGGTTAGAAGACCTTTGCATGGTTGGATGGATCTGTGTCAGGAAAAGTCACATGTGAAAATCCTTTTCTTTTCAAATGATGGTGTATGTACAAAGGTATGTGTGCAAAGGTCTGGGTCTTCTAGACAATCACTGGAAAAACCCTATACTGCTTAGGTCATGAACTTCCAAATGCTAGTCACTAACGAGTTTCCTGATTTCACCCTCCTTAACAGGCCCGGCTGTGAGATATAGTAAGTTCCTGATGTCAGAGGCAGTGCCACCCCCCCTGCTTGGGCAGCACACAACCCACATCCTGAAGGAAATTCTCCAATACGATGACAAGGCCATCAGGGATCTGCTCAGTGCTGGAGTGGTGGCCCAACATGAAGCCGTGTGACCAAGGAAACCAGGATCGGAATGTCCTTTGCTGACAAAGGCAGTACTCTATCCAGATCCTTTTCCCCAAGTCTAATGCCACTGAGAATCAGATAGAATCCCTCTTGATATCATGCCTGCAATCTCTCTGGGAGGACCCTGGAATGAGTGAATATAGAGCCCTTCAAGTGTATGTCTTTTTTTCATTCACGACCATTTTGTTTTTGGAATACAGGTTTAATTGTAGGTTGGTGAAATTTTTGATAAAGATTTAATTCTTTTGTTCTCAACCCCAAAGAATCAGTACGCATATATAATGGATATATTAATTAGCTTAATTTGGTCCTCCTATAATGTATACCTATGTGGAAACCTTACATCACACCCCACAGAATGTACAGTTACAGATGGGAAAGATTGATGGAGGAAGGGATTGTGACCAGGAAGCATGGACACATAAATGGTCACGTCAAATTGAACCCCCCTTGTACAGCCATGTGAAGTTTAGAAAATTAAAATAATAATAAATTTTTTCTAAAAGTTTTTTTTGTTTTTCTGGAAAAATACACTCCTCATCCTAATTACCTTACTGGCCTAAATATTTGCCTGTTCCACCCACACATCACTGAAAAAGAGCAGATCTCTTAATGTGTTCTACTTGTACAAAAAGAACTCATTTAAATCTCTGTTAGGAAGTCAAAGCAATAAGCAGAATGACAATCTGTGATTGATTTTAAATGGAATACCATAATTTTGAGCTTATGAACCCTCCCTTAAGCTGTAATGTAAGCCATGGACTTGTTGATGTTCTTTAAAAAGCTGAGCTCCAGTCTCTCCCTCTTGGGAGTATTTGCCTTGTTATATGTTTCTGGTGATTTCCTCATATGTGGCAGAAAATTAATGTCTCCCAGTGTTTTAAGGTGTAAGTATCTGCATAAATAGACAAGAAGTGTTCATCAGCGGATACCTTATTTTGAGCCACATCCACATGAAGCAGATTTTTTGAATGAAGATTAGAGAAGTCTTTGGGTATTAAATAATATGTAAACAATGCCAAGCAGAAGAAAGGAAGGAAAACATTTCTTGGCCATGTGAGCATCCACTGTAGACCACCCTGTCATGCCTCTCTATTTTAGTTTGTCACAAGCTTCAAAGACTACAAAAAATATCTTTTATCTGTAAGGTGAAAGTTGATGAGTTTAAATTTTTACTCAAACTGTGCAGCCTAGGTATAGACCAAGGAACGAGAGACCCCTCCCTGAGAATCCTTATGTCACCTAACAGGACTTGTTAAGAATACCTTAAAGCTGTATCATTGCATCCAGAGTGGTGATTGAAATTGAAATTACACGTCTGCCTCTCAAACTGTGACTTACAGCTAGTTTTCGTTCTGTGTTCTTTCCAACTACAATGGTTTGAGTCATTTATCCATTCTGTATGGACCCAAGTGTTTCCAGAATCTAGGATTCCAAATAAATTAAAAGAAAAAAGCTTGTCTTCTGACAGGGTCTCCAGAGGCTTTTTCTTTTTTCTTTTAGAAGAAAGCATATGAATTTTTTGAAACAATTATTGTCCTCCCTTCCCTGCTGTTTGTGGACATCTTATTCTGAAGAAGAACTGCTGTTACTAGTAACTGTCTCTAGTTAGGATTTCATCATACCCAAAAGTAATTTGAGGCTCCAGAGGCCTTTTTTCTCCCTACCTAATCTACAGACGATACACATTTACGCTGGTGGGAAAACAGGCATTGAGACAAAACATCTTTATGTCAGTTCAGAAATCAATGCAAAGCTGGATGACAGAGAATTGGAAAAACCACATTATCTCAAGAAGACTTACCAGGTCTCTCCTGTTATTTCAAGTAGATACTACAACCTGAAAACTACTCAGTTATGGAAGAATAACTCTTATGTATCTGGCTAACTTTGTGCTGGCAGCAGCGGGGGCCGGGGGTTGGTCATGGGAAGGAAGTCCTCATGATGCACATGATCAGAAAATGCCTCCAACTCTCACGTCAGCCCAAACTACAGTCTACAGATATGGCAGTGTCACCAGTGAAGCCAAGCCAAGGCCATCAGTGTAGTCATGTATCTAATTACCCAGGCTTCACTTTCCCAGCTCAGAATGATTCAGGAGAACTCTTGATATGCAGGCTAACCATCCAACAGAACGCACTTCTCCTACTGATACAGTGAAAGAAACAATTTCTATTTCAAGTTCAGATGGATAATTAGGCCTGGAAGAAACATTGTGCTTGCTGAAATTTCTAGCAATATGGCCCAGACCAAGTTAGGCTTCTAAACCAATGTGCTGTTTTAATGATTAGAACCTATTATACATTCCTGAAACTGAACACACTTTTACACCATTCTGTAGTCTAATTCAGTTTGTATCAAGGTCTGCCTGCTGGCTGGTTTGTGTCTTAGGTTGGCCTAAAAAACTGGCTGACATCTAGTGGGTTAATCATTATGGATTTGTGATGTGTCCACAAGTAAATGGGCTTTCTTCTTTTTTATTCTTTTTTCATGCTATGATTTTCTGTTTATTCAAGCATGATGTTCTCTAGCAAGTAGTCTGATACACTGATGGTGTCCCTAGCAGAAGAGAAATGACCATCACGGTGTAAGTACTCTAGTTATGTGGTAGAATCAGGTCTGTCTGTGATGCATCTACTAAGGTTAGATCTACAATAACAACTCAAGCAATGGAGGTCTTGAACTGGAAATGTCATTTGAGAGCCTTAAGTAGTATATGGACAGCCCCACTGGGGTGGAAGGGCTTTACCTGAAAAGTTTACAACCCCTGGATTTTAAGCCTTCTTTGGGAAATTTATGCCTACTTGTATCTCAGTGAATTTGCCATCTCATCATGTGAGAGTTATTTGTTCTACCTTTGGTATGTTGTGCATTTTAAAAGTTTTAAATGTTGTGAGTCTTGCTGATAGCTGTCCTACAAGACTCAGTGCTGCCTTCTACAAGATTCCTGCTACAGATAATTACCCTAAAGCCTTTCATAATGAATGACAGCAGAGCTGGCCAGCTCTTCAGATCTTAATCCTCTTAGTAATGTTCAAATTTGAGTGTCAATTGCAAAGAAGGTGTGTTGTGTGTGTGTGTGTGTGTGTGGAGAGAGAGAGAGGCAGGGTGGGAGACTTTTGCACCCCATATCTTTATCTTTAGCTGTTTTCATATTTATCTTCCAAGGTAATATTCTCCTTTCACTGACTTATATTTATGGAAATCTTCCTGCTGTAGAGATCATTTATAGTTGACAGAATTCTTGGAGCACCGGTGATCCTGAAAAAGTAGCTTCTCATCCTGATTGTAATATCAATGATCTTTGGGGGGGGTCAAATGGCAAATTTCTGCTTTTATCTTCATGTTTGTGACACCAGTGCAGCTATAGTCATTGTTATGCAGGGAGGGTAAAGAGGTCCACACACGCACACACAGAGGCTTAGCAGTTAGGAAAGCCCAAAACATATCATAGAGATATCCAGCTTGAGATCTAAATTTTCTCAGGCATTGAGTATTGCATTTCTAGCAATATTCATTCATACAGGAGTGCCTAGGTAAATTTTTTTTTATAAATTACTACTGAGGTAAGATGTTTAAGTAGGTTCTCTATGCAGACATAACATGCTATATTCTGAGCATGAATGGCCCTAAACTTTTAAACAAGATTAGCAGTGTGCCTGATGGGCTTATGGGGTAGCATTAGCACAGATGAAGCAACTTCAACAGACACGCATCCAACACCCCTTCCAGAATAAATCTTCCACTCTGTACATCACCTTTGTAATGCCTATATAAAAAAAGAATAAATTTTCTGGTATTACTTGAGGAAGTTCATATATCCTAGACATAATTTATGAAATGATATTATTAAAACATTTATTCTGCATGCTAGGGAAAATAAGTACAATAGAGAAGAGCTTTGAAGGACTGATAATTAACTATGTAGGTTTGAGTCACAGGAGAAGAGAAAGGAACACACCTGGGAGAGACGAATCTAAGGGCACACTTCCTGTGAAGGTGCTGGACAGCATGGTCGTGGGGAAGCGGTTTGGTGGAGGTACCAAGAGGTAAGGACAGACATTGAAGGGAGCTCCAACACTCCCTAGGAAACAGATTCCATTCACCATTCTTCAGAATTGTTTTCCCATTCATTAAGGTCTTAGGGTGAAAAGGACATGGAGAGGAAATGGAATTTTGCAGGATGGTTATCTCCTTGACTTTCTGTATTTGCTTCTTTCTGTCTCTGTCTCTCTCAACTTGCTACATCCTTTTATACCTTTCTTATGTTCCCCATTCTTTGAACCTCCTTCTTTCCATCTCTTTCTCTGTAATAATCCTTTGTGTTGCTGTCCTTTCTCTTCCTTTCCCTGATCCTCTTCCAGCTTGCTCCCTTTTCTCCTCTTCTTCTCTTCATGTATGAACATGTTCACACAGTGGTACAGACTCATATTACACAAACACCAACACCAAAAAAAAAAAAAAACCCTGCGTTTGACCTTCAGGAAACATGGGACTTGCTCAGTAATTTGGGAGATAACTAGTGGTAATTCTGGCATGACGTCACCACCACAAACAGTCTCCAATTACTCTCTGGGTGGGGCTTTTCCTTAATAACTAGCTGCCACATCTCCCTTGAAATGAGAGGAAGTAATGAAGGCAAGTACTCTAAACTCCACTTGGGCTGGTGCAGACCCTCCCATTTTGGTCAAATGCCCCAATTCCAACAGGAAAACAATATCCAAAATACTAAAACAGAACCTAGAGCAGAGTACGGACTTTATATGTCTTGGCCACAGATGCTGGAGTCTTGCTGCCATGTTTTAGAGGAGGTTCCGTTCTATCTGGGGTATGTTGGTAGGCTTTTCTGTTCCAGCAACTGAACTTGGCCTCCGACTTGGTTTCTTGCTCTGTCTTAATGAAAGTCATTTCACTGGATCTTCAAGCGTTGACTCATCGCATGATCTTGGCTGGTTTAGCCAAATGGATTCCGGGAGGATGGAACCTTTGGTTTTGTCCTCTGTCGAGAGGCCCATGTGGTTCTCATGGCTCCCTCTACTTCTTCCAACAGGATGAAAAACATTTGCACACATCCCTCCCTTTTCCTCCTTCCTTCTTTTCCTGTGCAGACCAGGCACATGGGCTGTTGTTGGTTTCTTTGGCTCCGGACTGTGCAGATTGGAAGAACAGGTTCCTGTACCTCCTGCGATCACCCCACCCGATCTTCTCACCCAGAGACTCTGCTCAGGGCTCACTCTGCAGCAGGACATTTGGGCTTAGAACACACAGCCATGATGTTAGAGGAAAGAAATTAATGTGAAACGGTTGCAGGAGAATTTCATGGTTTCGGCTCCCTTTACCTCTTTGTGAACCCTAAAGAAAAATTTGGATTTCCACAGCATCTCCTGGTATGAGACGTGGCAACATGTGTAACACACATTCCCCCTGGAAGTCTTGGATTTATGTTGTTAAATTTTTACAAAGAACTTCCTGGCTGCTCAGGATAGAAGCTTTGAAATGTACTGTGGAC